ACTACTAGCAGATAATCATGAAAGCTGGTTCCACCAGGGAATAACACAATTAAAAGATAATTGCGACTTTTTATATCACAATTCTGACTTTTTCTCTCACAATTGCGAGAAATAAATTCAGAATTGCGAGATATAAATTCGCAATTTCAAGATACAGAGTAAGAATTGAGAGATATTAAGTTGCAATTGCGAGATATAAAGTTACAGTTGCTAGAAAGTCAGAATTGCGTGATATAAAGTCAGAATTGTGTGATATAAAGTCGCAATTGCGAGATATAAGTCAAATTGCGTGATGCAAAGTCGCAATTGCGAATTAGTCAGAATTGCAAGATATAAGTCAGATTTTGTGATATAAAGTCAGAATAGCGAGATATAAAAGTCAGAATTGTGATATAAAGTCAGAATTGTGAGATATAAAGTCAGAATTGCGAGATATAAGTCAATTGCGAGATATAAGTCAGAATTGTGATACAAAAAGTCAGAATTGTGATATAAAGTCAGAATTGCGAGATAAAAAATCAGAATTGTGTGATATAAAGTCAGAATTGTGAGATATAAAGTCAGAAATTGTGATATAAAGTCAGAATTGCGTGATATAAGTCATAAAATGTGTGATATAAAGTCAGATTTGCGAGATATAAAGTACAATTGCTAGATATAAAGTCAGAATTGTGTGTTATAAAGTCAGAATTGCGTGATATAAAGTCACAAGTTGGTGATATAAAGTCAGAATTGCGAGATATATATGTCAGAATTGCGAGATATAAAGTTACAATTGCTAGATATAAAGTCATAATTGTGAGTAATATTAGCAATTGCGAGATATAAAGTCAGAATTGCGTGATATAAAGTCACAATTGTGTGATATAATAGTCAGAATTGCGAGATATAAAGTCAGAATTGCGTGATATAAAGTCGAAATGCGAGATATATAAGTCATAATTGTGAGATAAAGTCAGAATTGCGAGATATAAGTCGCAATTGCGTGTTATAAAGTCAGAATTGCAAGATATAAAGTCAGAAGTGTGAGATATAAAGTCAGAATTGGGTGAGTCAGAATTGCGATATATATATATATATATATGTATATAAATATCAGATGAGATATTAAACTGAGGTCCTGACTCACTGTGCTCATTAAAAATCCCATGGCACTTCTCGTTCTTGTAGAGATTAGGGGTGTAACCCCGGTGTCCTGGACAGATTCCCTTCATTGGCTCTTATCAATCATGGCCTCTGCATAATTCCTATCTATTAAAGCCATGGCTCAATCACTCTCTCTCTCCTCTCCACCTGTCGCTTCTGTGTGTGTGAGCGCACTGGTGCCGTCGTATCATACGTTTGGAGACTGAGCACTGGTTGGTGAGGAGAGACTCCTGATATGATTGTAAAGTGATACAGTAGTGCATTGTAAAGCACTATATACATGCCTCATTCGTTCATTTGTTTCTTTGTTCGTTTGTTCATTGATTCATTAGTTCATATATTGATTCATTCGTTCATTCATTTGTTCGTCCATTCATTTGTTCATTCGTTCTTTTATTCATTCCTTAATTTGTTTGTTTGTTCATTAGTCCATTCATTCGTTCATTTGTTCATTCGTTCACTCCTACATTCATTATATTCATTTGTTTGTTCATTCATTTGCTCATTAATTCATTCATTCATTTATTTGTTCATTCATTTATTCGTTAGTTTGTTCATTAGTCCGTTCATTCATTCATTCATTTGATCATTAATTCATTCAATCATTTATTCGTTCGTTCATTCATTCATTTCTTCAATCCTTCATACATTCATTCATTCGTTCATCAACAAAACTGTTGATCCAGGAAAGCGTATAACTCAGCAAAATCAGGATTTATAAAAATTAATTATGCTAGAATGTTAAAATTCTATAAAAAAAAAAAATACACTCTCCCCCTTCAACATAATATTGAAATGGGATTTTAGATATTTTGTACTGGTTTCTGAACATTCTTCATTTTGGCAAATATTGCTGTATTGATTGAAGGTCTGAATTGTAGTTCTTTTGTTAACCTGAACGTGTTCAGGGATGAATGCGTAGCATTAAATGAGAGGCTTTGAGTAGTCCCCTCCCCAGTGAGGCTAATACTGCATAACTGACCTCCAGTGATGAGAGGCACAGCTTAAAAAGAGCTGTGTGTTCAGCTCTGCCACTTCTTTCAGTATTGCTGCTACAATTCATGAGGTCATATCATACTATATTATAATAGCTTGAGCGAAAAATATTAAGCTACTCAAGGTTTCTTGCATCAAAACACTGATGATTTTTCAATGACAAGACTTAATATCTGAATTAATTTTGCTTCTTTCTTACCTGGCTGTGACTAATGGACCAAGTTTATGAACAGACAAGGCTTGGCGGACATATAAAGATGTTAATTAATCTGTTTGACATCAGAAAGTTGCTTCAATGAAAAGTTCTGAAATGTACATTATATTTCACCGTACAATGAGATCCTGTGAAGGCAAATTAGGTTTTTCATAACATGAAGCAATGAAGTGGTTCAAGAGAAAATCTTTTCATGTTGTGTTGTGTCATCGTTTCATAGTGTCTGAGCTTCAGGAGGAGGGCATGAACGCGATTAACCTGCCCCTCTGCCCCACACCCTTTGAGCTGGACCCTGAAGACACCATGCTTGGTTAAAACATTACTAATTCAGAGTTCAACCACACAGCCGCTGTAAGCCTCTAAAAGCTGCCGTATTTCCCATTTCTCTCAAAATACGAGAATGGTTGATCCTAACTCAAGGAACGATCCCAAACTCCAAGAGCTGATGAAGGTAAATCTACTGTTCTTCTTCGAGAGCTTTGGCCTTTTTCATTGTTATCTATCATGCAAAGAGACTCATGTTCAAATCCTGATCTAATTTTATGCCAAAAATAAACCATTCTTTAATTCCCCCAAAAAAACAAAAGATGAAAAGTTCTTAATTTTTCCTTGTCCAACGAACCTTTTCTACTATAAAGAAGTTGTTCCATGGACATTAAAGGTCATTTATAGAACCATTGATGCCAATAAATCATTTTTATTTGTGACTCAAAAAATCACATTGGTATTCACAACATTAATTATGTATAAAAAATAAATCAAAGTACAGTATCAGTATGTATATTTATATTTGTATATCATCTTTAGAATAATGTGAAACATTATTTGAAGACATTCACTAACTACACTCTCAAAAGATGCTGGGTTATTTTAACCCAATTGTTAGATTTAAAAAATGCAATTTATAAATTTAACCCAACATCTTTTGACCCAAAAGTGGGTTAAAATAACCCAGCATTTTTTAGACTGTAATAATAGAACCCCAAGTTACTTTGGGATGCATGGATGATTGTAACTCATAAGGGTAGTTTTGAGGTAATGTAGTCTTTTAACATACATAATCAATGTTGTTTCATGGCAGGTGCTCATTGATTGGATCAATGGCGTGTTGGTGGGAGAAAGAATCATTGTAGGATCTAACTGAAGACCTCTATGATGGGCAGGTTCTTCAAAAGCTCTTCGGTGAGGAATCTGTTCTGGAAAAGAGCCTGTATTGTTGTTCCATTACAGTAAGACCCAGTACTATATTGTGTATTTATTCCCAGAGAAACTGGAGGGAGAGAGGCTGAATGTGGCTGAGATGACTCAGTGTGAGATCGCTCAGAAACAGAAGAAAAGATCAATGACACCCTCAAAGTTTCCTCCGGGAACGTTAAATGGACTGTTGACTGTATGTACTGTAGCTTTGGCCTCTTTTCTCTTTGGCACGCTATGTTATGCGGTTCATTACTGTTCATCACTCAGCTGTCTTTGCCTTTTTGCTACCAGAACAGTTAGTTTTATTCTTTTTAACACCAATTGTGGTCACTGGGTGTTTCACTGATTCTGCTCAAGTCGAGTTAAGTCAAGTCAAGTCATCTTCATTTATATAGCACATTTATCAATGTAGATTGTTCCAAAGCGGCTTTACAGAGATAATAGGAAATTAAAGTGACAGATTGTTTTTGCTTTATGGTAGCTCTAGAATAGAATAGGCTTAAAGGGATACTCCGCTTTTTTTGGAAATAGGCTCATTTTACAACTCCCCCAGAGTTAAACTGTTGAGTTTTACCGTTTTTGAATCCATTCAGCCGATCTCCGGTTATGGCGGTACCACTTTTAGCATAGCTTAGCATACATCATTGAAGTGCACAAGACCATTAGCATTTCTCAAAAAAAAAAAAAATGACCAAAGAATTTCGATATTTTTCCTATTTAAAACTTGACTCTTCTGTAGTTTCATCGTGAACTAACAATGACGGAAAATGTAAAGTTGCGATTTTCTAGGCTGAGAGTATAGTTCCTAGCCATATCAGCCTAGAAAATCGCAACTTTACATTTTCCGTCAGTCTTTGGTCATGATGTAACTACAGAAGTGTCAAGTTTTAAATAGGAAAAATATTGAAACTATATTGGACAAATGCTAATGGTCTTGTCCACTTCAATGAAGATGCTAAGCTATGCTAAAAGTGGTAGCGCCAGAACCGGAAATCGGCTGAATGGATTCAAAAATGTTAAAACTCAACAGTTTAACTCTGACGTAGGTGTAAAATGAGCCTATTTCCAAAAAAATCTCACAGTTAAAATCCGTTCCCTAACACAATTATAATGTTTTCATGTAGCCGATAGAGCCCGACCGATAAAGGACTTTGAAGGCCGATACCGATACGAATATTTGTTGGTTTTAAAATCCTATATTCCGATATATTGGCTGATATTTTATTTTTATTTATTTTTCAGAAACGTGCAACAAAACATTAACAGATTTCCCTAACATTAGTTATTTGTAGTTATGTATTAGTTTCGACTAAAATAATATGATAATGCATTTTAATGCATTTTTCAGTTGGTCACGTGACCATCTCACCATGAACACACTTCACCGATGATCTCACTCGCAGATAACTGGTTCTCTCTCCCCGAATCTGGCTGGATCAGCAGTTTGCAGAATGTGTGGCGCGTTATAAACGAGTGTTGCAAACAAGAACGGTGTAGAGTGCCCTCTGGTGGACAAACTATACAACTCCAACACTCATGACATGGTTGAAGCGTGTTTCGTCCGTTTTTAATTTATTTTTGAAATATTCATTTATCGGCCATTATAACTGCCGATACCGATAGTTTGGAAAATGCTTAATATCGGCCTGCCGATATATCGGTCTGGCTCTAATAGCCGATATGACAGCACACTTTGCACTTGACTATATTTTCCTTTTTGATTCCAATCATATTTCAAGCAATTAAGGTCAATCATGTTGAACAGTGCGCATCTCAAGTGTTGAAGGAAATAATTCATTATTTATCAGCTTTAATATATCAGCCAAATTTTATTATGGGGCCGATAACGATAACATAAAAATGAACAAAAATCGGCCGATACCGATATGGCGGCCGATATATCGTGCATCCCTAATCTAAACATTGCTCTCAGCAGTGTGAGTGTCATCGGGATGTTCGCTAACAGTTGCTGGTCGTGTATTTCGTTTTTTTTTTTTTACCCCTAAGCAAAGAACGAAAATAAAACTTTTAAAAATAAGTATATCGGAGCCTAATTCCCTTTTGCAGGCAAAAAAGAAATAGAGAGAATGAACAATAAGGCATGTGTTTCACGTCTATGTGTTTGGTTTACATGTTAAAATATGATCAGGCATCCGGTGGCTTTATCATGCAGTGACATGACAGTGATGTAGCAGTGGTGTACAGGGTGTGTGTGTGTGTGTGTGTGTGTTGTAGAGGTTGCTCTGCCAGTTCTCCACTGCTGCTGCTGATTATCAGTGGTCCAGCGGGCTCGAGATAAGGCAGAGAGCAGCTCCTCGGGCAGCAGCTGCTGAGACATGCCTCTGCTGGGCAAGCGTCCACTAGGCCAATATCCTGGAACCCAGTTCTGTTTGATCGGCCCGCTCCTGGGACCGGAGCATCCCCTTCCCCCCTAATCTTTTTGTTTGCCTTTCATCCTGGCACTCTTGATACGACCCTCTGATTTTGCTTGCTATTTTGCCATTTAGTGACTGTTTGTGTAAAGCCCTTTCAGTCAAAGATAAATAGATTGTGGGTCTCTTTTGTTGCTCAAATTATTATTGAAATAAGAATCCTTTTTTTCTTCCCCAAAGGGCATCGTCTGGAAGATATGGTGAGTATTAATATGTTTGCTTATATTAAAATGTATTTACAGTGGCCTAAATAACATTTTGAACAATGTATGAATGCACCTGTGTGAGATAGCAAAATTATTTAATGTGTAAACAGAAATGTATCAGTTAAAGTCCCCCTGTAGTTAATCATTTTCTCCCTTAAAACTCATCTTTGATCACCAGAATGACGTATTTAACCCTTTACCTGTCACCCCCCTTTTTGATAATTGACATTAAAATGCACTATACAAACTTTAATAGTTGTAATTCAAGAATGCTTTGGAATATAGACCTAAGTTTGGTCTTGTTTTAAAGAAAACAATCAGAAGATTATTACTAAATTGAAAGCACTTCAAAAAATGTAACTATGAAAAAGTTATGGAAATGATAATTTACAGTAAATCAAAAATACTTTATTAATATATTTTTTTAATATGAAATATATATATTACAAAATTTGTTTTACTATAAAATGAAAGCTATATATATCTAACCAAGTTGTGTTCCAAATTTGAAGTTGATATCACAAAAATTGAAGTTCCCATGAGATTTTGTTTTGGCGTAGTACCAAAAATAGCCACCGGGTGCCATTGAATTTAATTGTATGCATTTCGCCATAACAAATTAATAAATTTCTATCCTTCTGTCACTAAATATGGAACCTTGAGACTCAGACCTTTCTGACAATATGTGTTTTGTCAAGATTAGAAAAGGTTTTCATAATAAATTATGAAAGATGATGCCCAAAAGGGGAGGGGCCTAATAAAAAATACCGTTTCTATGGTAACCCAACGTCCAATTTCAAAACGGTTCTCGCAGAATGAATTCTGAGTTCATACGCTTTCAAATGATACCTAATTTATGATAACTACTAAAATATGTGATATAATAATAATAAAATATATTATACTTTTTAGAGGACTTCTTACCTTACTTTTTAAAATATAATTTTAGTTTTATTATGAACTTTTAGCACTAAAAACCAAAGTTTCAATTATTAAAAGTGTGTGCGTCGACATTTTGTGACAAAGGTCAGAAACTCCTGTAATGATGTCGATTTTTTGAGGCGCACTCTTGTCATATATTCATATATTACTGTTCATTCATAATTTGTAAGAAAAAAACAGACCTAAAATATCTATTTAGGAGTCTTAGACCTTTCCAACGAAATATATTTTGTCATGACAAGATTAGGATTTATGAGTAATATAGTGAAGTAAAGTTAGGTTGCCCGTATACGGGCAAGTGACAGTTCGTGTTATAAAGCTTGAATGTAACTCTACACCCTTGCCTCATTTAATATACGTGGTTCTATGAATATGCAAATGAGCCCCGCCTCCGCTCACTCACAGCAGCTCATAGATTCTCTCGTTGATCTGATTGGTTGAGTCTTTGATACACTACAGTTTTAAGGAGAAAATACAGCAATGGTGTTGTTGATGTATGAATTTGCACATGGTTTTTCTTAAAGCATATTAAAAATCACCATCATTAAAAACTTGATTTTCACCACAGGGGGACTTTAAAGGAACAATATGTAGTACACTAATATAGTATTATATCCAAAATATATCAAATTTAACTTTAGAGCAGCAGAATTCGAAAAAAGGGCTTTTCTGAAATGAACCTGTAAGAGGTATTTGGACACTTTATTGTTATCAAAATTTGACTGTATATGTTTTCTAATGCCTCTCTGGAAATGAGCAATCAGGTCATATTTTACTCTAACAGAGCGAGACGCCTTTGATACCCTTTTTGACCATGCGCCAGATAAGCTGGATGTAGTGAAAAAGGCAAGTGCACATCACACTATTTCTTGAGAGGTTTTACACACTGACAGCTTTGACTCTTGACTCTGAACTTTTGGTCTCTCCTTTTTTCAGACTCTTAACACATTTGTCGAGAGCTGAGGGATTTAACATGTTGTAAAAGCGATGCGGAGATGATGGCGTTTTTATTACTCGACAGATGAGTAAGGTATTTTATTGAACAGATAGATTGCCATATGTGTTCTAACAGAATTCATTGTTAAACATTATCTGTTATGAATGGTCATATTCATCCGCACAGTCACATAGAGCCGAAGCACAACCAAAACAATGTTCTTGCATGCAGTCTTTTTTTAACTGACGTTTGCCATTATATTTTTAAAACAAATAATATCTTAGTAAAAACCTTAAGTAATATTGACAAACTATATCTCATTTAAAAGCTTACAATCTCTAGTTTTCATATTTGGTGACTGATTTTCAAAATAAATTACAGAGGAGCCGTAATTTATCAATTTGCAACAAGAATATTTTCATACTCCTAAGGCGTGTTCAGACCTTTAATTTGAAATAGCAATGAACATGAAAAATCGTGTTTGTTTTCATGCCAAGAGTTCAAAAGATAGCATCCATTAAATTATTTTAGAAAAAAAGGTCTGAAAATGTTTTAAATATAAAGAAAAAAATAATAAATTCACCATTTGTGATGTGGCAGGAAGTTATAACGCACATGCGTGTTCTTTGTATGTTTCTTTGAGGTTGAATTCATATCAAAATCTGCCAAACTTCCCATACTACTTCTGAATGGGATCTGTACTTCATAAATTGTATGAAAATTGTCGAAATAATGGTTCAGATCACTCAAAACACATATGGAAATGTAGACGCCCTTATATGGGCAGTAATGGAGTCTGGTTGTGACCTAGTGGAAGCGTTCGGTACTGCGCCCAAACAAAATCTTACTGAAAGCTCATTTTTTGAGATATCAAACTAAAATTTGAAACACAACTTGTTCAAATTTTTTGGCTTTGATTTTTCTGCAATTTTAGAGTAGCCCAGGTTTTGAAAATATACATTTTATATAAAATATGAATAATATTTTTTTTTCCATTGTACATTTCCATAAACTCAAACTTTATTTCTTTTTCACTTTCTTAATTTATTTCACTTCTACAAAAACGTCTTCTTTAAAACAAGATCAATCTTACGTCTATATTCCAAAGCATTCTTGAAATACAACCATTTACAGTAAGTTTGAAATGTGCATTTCCATGTCTATTCAAAAAAAAGGGGGGGTGACACTTAACAGGTTAACTACTAGAGGGCCAAAAATGACATAGTGTACCTAGTGTAATGCATTAACAAAAAAAGGTCAGTTTGGTCTTTTAATGCCACTATTTGTTTTAAAATAGTTGATTTCTCAATGTCACTTACTCACAGCATTGTTTCGCATGTAATGTGTTAGGTGCACAATGTTTCATTTTCCTTTGAACTGATGCAAGATGGCGATTTGGAGAAGGTGAGATTAAACTTTTCTCTCAGCGTCTTGCAATCTTTATAATGAATGGTGTGCTTTACACTGCTTGATTTCTAAGGAACAGTCATGACATGATGCCTGATTGCAGTAGTTTATTGTAGAAGAGTTGCCATGTGTATCAGGTGAATTGATCTCCTCTACTGTTGCTGTTGAACTACTTGAATGAGAAGCTAATCAACAGATGGGGCTGGAGATGTGTTGTGGCTGCTTTACTCGAAGGCTTTGTTTAATGCCTCAATCGCACACTGCATTTACAATTGCATTTTCATTTCGCTGCAACTGAGTTCCTGTGTGTAATCACAAGGCTTAAACAACATCTGGTTAATGTGGCGCAGATGATCTAACTGAGAATATGCCTTATGGCCGTCTGTTACTAAATGAGGTTTAATGCAAAATACATTGACACCATGAAATGTGTTGCTGTTAATTATTAGTGGTGATTTCTAAGGCAATCATATTTATTATTTATCATTGCAGGGTGAGAGATTACAATATAGCTAGTGACCAGGACATGATATTAGTTGCACCTCATTGCAGTACACGAGATCCAGGGGGCGGAGTTGGATCCAGATCTAAGGGGTGGAGATGGGTAGGATTAGGGGTGGGGTTAGGGATCAGGGGGTGGAGATGGGTAGGATTAGGGGTGGGGTTAGGGACCAGTGGTGGAGATGGGTAGGATTAGGGGTGGGGTTAGGGACCAGTGGTGGAGATGGGTAGGATTAGGGGTGGGGTTAGGGATCAGGGGGTGGAGATGGGTAGGATTAGGGGTGGGGTTAGGGATCAGTGGCGGAGATGGGTAGGATTAGGGGTGGGATTAGGGACCAGTGGCGGAGATGGGTAGGATTAGGGGTGGGGTTAGGGATCAGGGGGTGGAGATGGGTAGGATTAGGGGTGGGGTTAGGGATCAGTGGCGGTGATGGTAGGATTAGGGGTGGGGTTAGGGACCAGTGGTGGAGATGGGTAGGATTAGGGTGGGGTTAGGGATCAGGGGTGGAGATGGGTAGGATTAGGGGTGGGGTTAGGGATCAGTGGCGGAGATGGGTAGGATTAGGGGTGGGGTTAGGGACCAGTGGCGGAGATGGGTAGGATTAGGGGTGGGGTTAGGGATCAGTGGCGGAGATGGGTAGGATTAGGGGTGGGGTTAGGGATCAGTGGGTGGAGATGGGTAGGATTAGGGGTGGGGTTAGGATCAGTGGCGGAGATGGGTAGGATTAGGGGTGGGGTTAGGGATCAGTGGGTGGAGATGGGTAGGATTAGGGGTGGGGTTAGGGATCAGGCCGGTGGAGATGGGTGGGGTTAGGGATCAGGGGGTGGAGATGGGTAGGATTAGGGGTGGGGTTAGGAATCAGTGGCGGAGATGGGTAGGATTAGGTGTGGGGTTAGGGATCAGTGGCGGAGATGGGTAGGATTAGGGGTGGGGTTAGGGATCAGGGGGTGGAGATGGGTAGGATTAGGGGTGGGGTTAGGGATCAGGGGTGGAGATGGGTGGGGTTAGGGATCAGTGGCGGAGATGGGTAGGATTAGGGGTGGGGTTAGGGATCAGGGGGTGGAGATGGGTAGGATTAGGGGTGGGGTTAGGAATCAGGGGGTGGAGATGGGTAGGATTGGGGGTGGGGTTAGGGATCAGGGGGTGGAGATGGGTGGGGTTCGGGATCAGGGGGTGGACATGGTTAGGATTAGGGGTGGGGTTAGGGACCAGTGGTGGAGATGGGTAGGATTAGGGGTGGGGTTAGGGATCAGTGGGTGGAGATGGGTAGGATTAGGGGTGGGGTTAGGAATCAGGGGGTGGAGATGGGTAGGATTGGGGGTGGGGTTAGGGATCAGGGGGTGGAGATGGGTGGGGTTCGGGATCAGGGGGTGGACATGGTTGGGATTAGGGGTGGGGTTAGGGATCAGGGGGTGGAGATGGGTGGGGTTAGGGATCAGGGGGTGGAAATGGGTAGGATTAGGGGTGGGGTTAGGGATCAGGGGGTGGAGATGGGTGGGGTTAGGGATCAGGGGGTGGACATGGTTAGGATTAGGGGTGGGGTTAGGGATCAGTGGCGGAGATGGGTAGGATTAGGGGTGGGGTTAGGGATCAGGGGGTGGAGATGGGTAGGATTAGGGGTGGGGTTAGGAATCAGGGGGTGGAGATGGGTAGGATTGGGGTGGGGTTAGGGATCAGGGGGTGGAGATGGGTGGGGTTAGGGATCAGGGGGTGGAGATGGGTGGGGTTAGGGATCAGGGGGTGGACATGGTTAGGATTAGGGGTGGGGTTAGGGACCAGTGGTGGAGATGGGTAGGATTAGGGGTGGGGTTAGGGATCAGGGGGCGGAGATAGGTAGGATTAGGGGTGGGGTTAGTGATCGGTGGCGGAGATGGGTAGGATTAGGGGTGGGGTTAGTGATCAGTGGCGGTGATGGGTAGGATTAGGGGTGGGGTTAGTGATCAGTGGCGGTGATGGGTAGGATTAGGGGTGGGGTATATGTAAGGGTATATGTAAGGTGGGAGGAGTTGGATCCTCCCCCTGGATTTCGTGTTCTGCAGTGAGGACCATCTCCATGATATTGATGTGGGCATGGGCTTTTTTTACTTAGCAAAAATCTAACCACTTAGCATCCCTTGTGAACAAGTGTGCTTAATTGTATTGAATGTGCACATGTAGTGTACTTAAAGAGAGTACACTTTCATGATCATGTTACTTAATACAGTTATAAAGTGCAATGTCAAATGAAAAGTTTTTTTTTGTCATTTTTATTGCATTGTTTGCATTACTCTAGAGTGAAAATCTAGCTGTTCATTCAGTTTAGAAGCAACACTTGACATGCAGTTGTGTCAGGTATTATGTTAGATTATATTGAAATGAACAGTGCATACAGTCATACCTCAGTCATGTTCAGATCTTTTATGTGTCTCCTCAGACATTGTCAACTGTGACCTTTAAGTCCTCTACAATCTCTTCACCAAGTACAGGAATGTGTAGTGACAGAGAAGTTGCGAAACGGCTTGATTTAAAGAGCCCCTATCATGGATTTTTGAAAATGACTCTTCATATGGTGTGGAATATAGCTCTAAGGGAATGAAAACATCCTGCAAAGATTTATATCTGAAAGTGCACCGAAGTGAGAGTCGACTCTGAGTCTATGAAATGAATTGTTTTTGAAACGAGTCATTAGCTGTTACATCGTGATGTAGAGAGGTCATTGGCCGCGCCCAACAACTGCGCGCGCGCAGACGGAAGTGTAAACTTGAAGTCTACACATTCAGATACTTCATCATAGCATCATGTCGAGAAGACGCTGTGTTCTACAATGCAAAGATAGTTCAGCCATGTTCTCATTCTGTTTACTCATTGGAGTTTCATGATTTAAATATATATTTAATATTATATTGAACCAACAACAATTAAAAAAAACAAAAGCATGAAATTTCAAGGTTTTCAATATTCAGCTGTATACATTCAGGCGGTCACATTAGCGATATTTCAGCAAGGTCAAAAAAGGTCATTTGTCAATATAAAGTGGCGATGTATAAAAAAAGCACACCTCATACAAAAGCCCTCAAGCAACTTTCTGTTGATCAATGCAGCAAATTCGTGTGACCGTGAAGTTGAACATGGGAATTTTTCGCCAAATTTACAGTAATGGCCTAATTGCTTCATGGTAGCGATCGCATGTTACCACTTTTAACAGTGAATGTCTCATAGGCCTACTGACAAGCACAAAAGTAACAGATCATTCCCAAAAATTTCAGGTTGTGTGTCTGTTGTTCCCTTTTTTTCGTGAAGCTACTAAATTGCAGACCTGCATTACAGTCTGTCTGGGCATATGAAGTCTCAAAAAAAAAATG